GGCAGATTCTGGGCACCAGGCCCAACAGCTGAAAATGAAGAGGGTAGAGGCAAAGTGTGGTGGAGGGTCCGCTTCGTAAGACTCATCTCTCTGCCGCCGTGACTTCTAACACGTCCTCTCACTATAGAACAATGTGTGATCGGTGTTTCATTTATACTGTCTGTGTTTTCATTCCTCTGACCTCAAGTTCTGCTCTGTCTCTTGCCATTCGAGAAATAAAGTGGGGAATCAATCCTGCTTACTCAACTATTAACATTCTCTTTAATGGCATTAGAAAAGCACATATACACAGTTGATACAATTTTACTGTTCATATTACTGTATGAATGAAATATTACAGGTAAAACTTGGCAGATGATTCTTAAGTAAGTTTGGTATATCAGAGCGTCCTTTCACCTTGAGTTATACAGAATGTAAATCTGTTCTCTGCTCCTAGGTTTTCTAGCACCGCTTCTCACTGAATAATGCTGTTTTGTCTAACATTTGTTCAAGACACCAAGGTTTTCACTACCTTCTACCTTCCTCACATTTTTATTTTCTTTCTGGAAAGTAACCCTGCATTGATCTGTACTTTAAATTAATCTCCTTCTCTCAGCAAAACTCCAAACCAGATACCGCTTCTAGGTTTCTGAGCTCTGTCAGCTTTTGTCTACAATCCCTGCTCAAGTGGCAAAATAAGTCTCCCTTTCTCAGCCAGGGAAGTGTCACTGTGATAACAGCTCATTTCTACACACATGCCCCTTCAGTATTACCAAACAATTTCATTAAATATTCTGAAAACAGCAGTACAGATTTTCCAGTCCACTCTTCACAAAACACAGTTGCATTAAAATCTACATTTTAACCAAATAATCTATAGTTTAACAAAAGTTATAGAAACAGCTCCCGACAAAATCAAACAATGTGACTACTGTACTTTACTGATACTCAGCAGGGAACAAGATATCAGAGTGCACAAAAGCAACTTCACTTATTTTCAAGATTCAAAGAAAACTAGGAAGCTGATCCATGGGGATTATAGCATATCATGACAAGCTTGCTGATGTTCTGGGATCAGCCAGTTACCAAGCAGAAAAGTGAGAAAGATGGACTCAGAGCAATCAATTGCAACCATTCTTAAGCTATGAGGTTCTAAATGGCAACTTGACTATTTTACACAAACAGCAGAATTATACACATAATCGTTTGGCACAGAGGTGGTGTGTTTTTTTACCCTTTTGATGGTACAGTAATACTTGTTGAGAAGTGCTACTCTTGTCTGTTAATGGGTTGGTTTGTTGGTTTTCAAAATAACTATACAGTTCAGTATTATGTAATATTTGAAGAAAACATATTCGATTTATTCCAGTGCTTCATTAATAATAATTAATAATTGCTTACACTTATATAGCGCTTTTCTGGACACTCCACTTAAAGCGCTTTACAGGTAATGGGGACTCCTCTCCACCACCACCAATGTGCAGCCCCACCTGGATGATGTGGCGGCAGCCATAGTGCGCCAGTACACTCACCACACATCAGCTATCAGTGGGGAGGAGAACAGAGTAATAAAGCCAATTCGTAGATTGGGATTATTAGGAGGCCATGATTGTTAAGGGCCAATGGGAAATTTAGCCGGGAAATTTACACCCCTACTCTTTTTGAGAAACGCCCTGGGATTTTTAATAACCAAAGAGAGTCAGGACCTTGGTTTTACGTCTCATCCCAGGGATGGCACCTTTTTACAGTACAGTGTCCCCCTCATTATACTGGGCCATCAGGACCCCCACAGACTGCAGGGTGAGCGCCCCCTACTGGCCCCACTAACACCTCTTCCAGCCGCAACCTTAGTTTTTCCCAGGAGGTCTCCCATCCAGGTACTGACCAGACTCACACCTCCCGAGCTTCAGTGGGTTGTTAGTTGTGAGTTGCAGGGTGATATGGCTGCTGGCGATGTTGAATTAGTATTTCCAAAGGTAGATCAGCCTCACAGCCATGGTTGCATACAGTAGCTTTGCACTGCTTACCTTGCTGTAGAGGGTTTTTTGTGTTACCCCTAAAAACTGCTACTTGTGGATTCTGGGGGTCCTGCTCTAGGGTATGAGTTGATATGGGAGAAAATGAGGTAATTTTCTACGTTCCTTTTAACTTTAGAATTGCCAGTCAATTTTGTAATTCTATATTGGGAACATTCAGTCGTGTGTTTGTTTTATTTCTCACCTCACAGTCAAGAACCCCCAATACCACACACAGAGCAAATTAGGAAGTTTCACCAGACTCTAGGTCTGAACCACTAATTTTTTGATATGTCACAGGATCCACAGTCCTGTACTGGAGGTTCAGCACCGAGCTTGTCGAGGAGAAGTACTTAAAGTATCCTGCAAGTGTCAAGGGGGCTGCAGGACTCTCTGTGTTTATCAGGAGCTGAGAAAGTCCTGGTTGACTAATCATACTCTACACTAGGCAGCACTTACCAATTGTGTGCTGCGGCTAGGAGATTCCTAGATGGCTAGTGACATGATCCAGGCTCGAACCCCAGACCACACAATTCAACCTGTATTCCTCAACCTCCTTGGGGTGTTTTTTTGCAAAGCTGCTATTTTGCCAAGAATTAAAGAAGTATCGGATAACAGTGAAGACAACTGTACTGTTAAGCAAGATATTGATATAATGACTAGTAAGGTTTAGCCCAGTTTACTGCATGATGTTGGTATCATCCACTGAAAGAGCCCTGAGCTGACAAGAGTGAAAGGCTCTTTTAAACAGGTACACCCTGCCTTCTGATTCAGATCCCATTTTAATAGATCTCTGCACCATCACGCAGGGGGTTAATTGACGAGACAGATAAAGGGTGGGAGGAAAAAAACCATGCTTGCAGTAGCTGGTCCAGGAACTGAAGAAAGAGACAGAGAGAAAGTGCAGGAGGAGAAGCAAAGAGAGAAAAAGAGACCACAATAAATCTAATCCTCATTCAAAATGATCCAGGGCTCTTATTAAGTAAATTAATTTAAGTTAATTTCACTCGATCCTGACTCCAGAGCAGCCTGATTTAGTAAGGGGGGAAATTGCATTAGGAAAAGGCCGTGTTCGCCAGATATAAGAATGAAGCAAAATTACATTCACTTAGCACTGTAAATTAATCCGCAAAACTGCAGGTGTAAATTTTCCAAGTTATCTACAGTGTAAAAATGATCTTCATAAATTTCAGAAATGGCCTCCTTGTCGGCTATAAATCTCTGCGATATAAAAATGAATATATATTAAATATTATTAAGAACACAGGCAAATTAAATTAAGTACCCTCTCCTCCGCTTCGGTATCTTTGAGGCCTTGTTAAGACTGAATGCTTTTTAGGCTTATACTGAATGCATAATGGACAGCAATAACCAGCAAAAGTATGGTACCATCCTGTACCTCATTGCTGTTTTATTGTTGACTGCTCTTGAAATTGTAAGATCAGTAACAGAATCCAGCTTTATTATATGACTCCCCCCGCATCCCCCCGAGTAGTAAAATCTTTGTCCCCCATTGCTGGCTGGATATCAGACTTCTGCATGCTGCCGTCAAAGCTACACAGCTTTACTAGGCAAACTGCTATGCTGAGCTGGGCCTATCCTCGGAAACTCATCACACTGCTGCACTGGCCAGCTTCATGGAAAAACTAGTATAAACACAAAAGCTGACACATGGGGTAACCAAGTAACGTGGGAGATTCTGAAATCTTATTAAAGTCTGAAAATGGCCATTCCACAATTCCACTGAAAAATCACTCCTACTGTATGTCTTTTTTTACCCAAACAAGCATAATAAATAAAACAGGCAGCATAACAGTGGCCTTTCTGAATTAATCTGAACTTTTAATCTCACCCTCACTTGAAACCTTTAAAACCTACAACACTAGCAAAGGGTAGAACCAACGACCAGACTTTCAACAACAGTACACTCACCAAAATATAATATTAAAATGCACGACGACACTTGGTTTTAATCAGAACCAAAATAACACCATTTACGTAATCAGTCATATGACACAAAAGACATGCCTCATTTCTCCAAAGGCATTTCAGGCGTGAATGTGTTCATCTAAAACTAGACATCAGACACATCTGTAGCTGAAGTGCTGATTTATTCCAGTGGGTTAGATATTGAAAAAGTAAGGAATTTAGACAGGGAATTTGACTATCTTAGCTTTCTCTGGTGTTACTGCACCAGACTTGAACTATGGCTTTGTATGCAGGTCAAAGTGTAGAGAAACCACCCTCGGCAAGTCAAAGGTCGTATGGTAGAGTGTGCAGTACACTCTTATCAACTTGATCACAGAGGTCCTCAACCCTTCACCTCACCTAACCCCTTATACTGCGCAATGTCAAAATCTTCTGCCCTCCACTAAGCCCTGCAGGACAAGATTTATTGGCGTGATTAGGCACAGCATTAGAGTTATCAGCACATAATAACATAGGCACTATCCGCAACACAGTTGTTTATATAACAGCATCATCATTGTGAGTTTCTATTAGATCCCCCCCTCACACACACCAGTAGCCTCCTTTAAAACCCCCTAGCCACTCCTTCATTTTAATGTGCCCTGTTAAAGACTATGATTTCCTTGAAAGTCCTTGTGCTTCTTTTAGATAGCTCCCATACAAGCTAGTCTGGGATGTTTAAGGCCCAGAAAGCTTAGCTACACTGAATCACACTCACTGAGGCATTACAAAGAACTGAGCAATGAGTCTGCTGAAAACGGGACTGGGGACATGCAGGACTGCATACAGCTAGGGTGACACCCATCTTTCTGCTCATTTTCAACAGGTTAAGACCTAAACAGAAGGGGGTCATTTAGGCCAATACATGGCCAATTATAACCCATTTAGCTGATCTTAAATGGGGAGTTTTTGAACTAGCAACAGCATTTTCTGATGTTGACAACATTAACTTACCAACCAATGCTGAACTTGGTGTTGCACCTGAGACGGAGCCATGTAGTGATGTGGTAGTGGTGGTGTTGGGGGGGAGGGGGTTACCTGGCAGAGTGGATCCTGCGCACCCTCCAGGAGAGTGATGGGCTGGAGTGGACAGCGGGCGAAATGCTGGCGGCCCCTCGTGTCACTATCTTGTAGCGCGTCTTGATCACCCTCTGTGTTGAGGAATTCCGAAGGGAGGGGGAGCTGAAGCCTACAGAGTGGACAGAAAACAGCTCAGTGGAGCATTTCCCAGAAAAGAGGTACAGACCCAGGTACAGACCCATGCTGGATTAGTATTTGTCACACACATGAGTTAAATAACTCATTTCATCTGATCGTTTATAGTAACTATCTAGGATGCAAAACAGTGACAGAAAAAGTTTCCTGTGAGCAGGTGCTAAAAAGGAAATTTAATGAAAGCAAGATTCTAGTCAGTGTTTTTAATGGCTGGTCTTCATTTTAGATGTATGTCAGTCTGATAAAAAGGGATCATCTGCAAAATATTCTGAAATCCCAAAAATATATCAAGCCAGAATTTTAAATCAATTTGTTCTGACATACATATTTTCTAGAGTAGCCATACCAAGTCAAGCCTCTCTTACTTTATAATCGTCATTTATCTTGCAAAACGTGACAGCCTTTTACAAGCACTTTTTTTCCCTTGAAACAATTGCCCTACCATGTATTTACCAACAGTGGATGGGTGGACAAATGAACAATCCGAATGTCACTATGGTCCTAAGTCTTATGCTAATGGAAGACTTGGAACACCAAGCAATTACGGAAAAAAAACAAAAACAGAATTATGTCAGTTCATCAGGTTTAACTACCAAAACGACTGAAACAGTGGATTTCTGAATCTGTTTTTTTTATTAGACAGTGAGAACCAATGCATTAAAAAACAAGGTTAATGGGGTTTAATGTCTGATATGTAAAACGGCATGTCCACAAGGCTTTTAATTAACTCAGGATTTCTGCAACCCACAGTATTTCAATTGGTCCCTTTAAGAAACACAAACCCCAGCTTCTGTAGTAAAACCCACCATGTCCTGATTCTGTAACATCAACATACACAAAAACACTTAGACAAGCAAGACAGCTGTCTCATACTGTGTATAACCAGCATATAGCAGGTTCACTCATTGCAAGAATGTGTTTCTTCAGCACTAAAAACACAAAATCTCCCTTCTGTGGGCCTGGGTCTTTCTCTGTTATCAATGTAAAAAGGCAAACTTTGTTACTTTAGGTAGCTATTTTGTTATAATTAGGTTTGTGTTTTTACATGAAGTTCAGGAATAGCTAGTAAAGTAAATCTGTGATGCTGCTCACCATTCTTAAAAAATCCTGTGTAAAGTAGGAAAGATTTTTAAGTCTATAAACGGTCTTCTGCCACTGACAGTCAAGCTAAGCTGTAAGAGCTGAAAACCTACTGGGTGAAAACTAGTGGGTGGCCTGAATAATCAGAGGTTTTGAGGGATACCTGTGTGCATTCAATATTTACCTCTGTGCTGGTGCAGTAGGAACAGAAAGCTGGATAATAACTAGCATCTCCAAACTGGTGGATATAAGGCTAAGAAGGGGTTACAGATTTAAAATTAAAAAGAGCTTTGCCTGGGTTTAAGTGCCTGGGGCCAGATTGTTCAGTAAAGAAAGCCATTCAGTTGAATGGAGACTATGCCTTGCAGCCTGTTAGCCTGAGGTACAGATGCAGCATTCAAATTGCTCCCAGTGTTTGCGTGTAAAAATGAAATATAAGCGTCTGGCTAGAATGCGAACAGCAGGTACAGTTTTTTGCTCAACTCCAGGCGTTATTTACTTTAAACCTCAGAGTAATTCCCCTCATTACCATCTCAGCAAACTGTAATTATTCTCCAGTCGATTCCCCACTGACTCCCCACCGCTTTGAAATCAAACTCAACCACTGTCTCTGCAAACATCCCCTCTTTGGTCCCCCCTCCCCTCAAAAGTCCTCTACCCCTCTGCCTTACCTCCCCCTCCTTCCTCGGCCCCAGAAGTTATCAGCCTACCACACATTGGCTTGGGGCAAAACAGGTCAGCGTTAATGACTAATTGATCTCATTAGATTTTCTAATTAAAAACTTTAGTGCCATGGAGGAGAGCGGTGAAAGAGGGACAAGTCAGGAGTGTGCTCATGGGCTGCTCTGTGCCGGGTTATGAACAGCATTCATCAGCCGGATCCCTGAGTCGGCACTGGAGAGAGGGCCTGCCTGCTGAGGCTGCACTTTCACCCAGGACTCGAGAGAAGACAAGAGTGGGGCTGAAGTCGAGAAGCCTATGAGGGGACCTGATTGCACTACAGGTGAACCTTGCCAGGCAGCTGGTAAATATGAAGCCTTACAGAAAATAGGGGGTTAGGGGAACTGCAGCTTCTGATACTTCACTACTTTAAAGGCATAGGTGGATTTGTGATGTACAAATAAAAGAAAATTTACAGATGCCAATTACACAAGATAAGATAAGATGAGATTTATTGGCCATATACAATTTCTTGTATTAGGAATTTGTCTTTTTTCGCATACGCCAACTTCCTCTCCATGAGGCACACGGACGGAGAGAAGCTTGGGGTCCCCGCACACAATTTCATTATTTATTCCTCCAACAATACTAGTGCCGATCACACTTTATTTTGAATTGTCCTAAATGTGAACTCATCAACTCCCCACCAACACCGCAGAAAGCTGGCCAAGCATTTCTAATGTCCTTTCTAACTAAGCACGTGATATTTCTTGCCCTGTTTGCACTTTTCTCAACCGTAAAGCAGGTTTGACACTCAAGAAGCCAAGTTCAAGGGCAAAAGGACTGCTTTAAAAGGGCTAAACACAGAGTGACTCAACCCACTACCCTTCTTTACAATCCACAGTGAAACATGACCCACAGAATGCAAGAGTGAACTAAGGGGAAGTGCATTTAAAACTGGAACAAGCTACGCAGTCATGTTGTCAAAACGGATGCCCCAGCTACTTTCAAGAAAGAGCTTGATGAGATCCCTGGATCTATTAGCCATTAACTACCAAATGGACTAGATGTGCTGACTGGCCATCTCCTGTTTGTTACTATTCTTATGTTCTAAAGTTCAGAAAAGTAACCCCACTCTATCTGTCATGTACACAGTGATCATAATACGGTATGCTTTGCAGTAAAACTTTACAGGGTAAAATCTTAAACACAGGATTATAATTTCGGAAAAGCGAAGAAGGGACAGGATATATATATATATTGGAATAGTAATGAATGGACGACAGAAGTTATTATTATAAAGGTATTATCATAATAGTTATTATAAAGACATTCTGCTTAACACACAGAACATACGTATGTATGTAGGACTTAATCAGAGGCTAGAAAGTAGGCGGTCCAAATGCTTTGATAAATCAATGAGTAAAAATATGAAAAAGAAAATGATTTAAAAAGAACAGGGTCTAGTTAAAAATAAGGAAGATAATGAAAAACAAGAACTGGTAAAAAATGAGTATAAGAAAGGCCAAGAGTGTAAAGGAATATGACAATGGAGACTAAAATAAATAAAAAATCAGTACTAGCTAAAAACTAAAGGATGAAGTAAAAATGCCTCTGAGATAATAGTGGGAAACCTCTAGTTGGTGAAAGGGAAATAGATTATGCATTGAATTGATATTTAACTGGGGTTACGAAAGAAATCAACAGCATGCCTGAGGACAAGACAAAAGTTCCATAAAAGGTATTAGCAGAAAAGAGGCAAAAATGTTACAGGGACTAGAAGCACTTAAAATAAATTTCCAGGGCCTGAATCTACCTACTGTACTTACGGAAACAAAATAAGTCATTACAAATATATCTTTAAAATAATGAAAGGCATTTAATCAAGTTTCTGACAAAAAGACTCACTTTCATCTTCTAGACACTGAGAAGCAATAAAAAATACAAACCAAATGTTAAGATATATGGTTAAAAGTGCAGAATTTAATGGGATTTTATGTTATGTGCAATGCACTACAAAGACCTCATTTGAATATATATAGTATGTATAATGGTCACCATGTTACAAAGATCTAGGTATTTCTGCTCTAAGATCATTTCAGAAAAAAGTAACCAGATAAAGTACTTTCTGGAATTTAAAGGAAGCTAGTTGTGCTGAATGGCTTTCTCTTGTTTGTAACAAGGTAAAAAAAAACTATGATTTTAGTCATGAAAACTACAATAAGAGGACCCGATTCAAGTACTCAGAATTCTCAGAAGCACTGAAAAAGTAAAAAAAATACAGAGGCCACAAATGGAAACTAAGGATAAGTGAATTTAAAATGGAGAACCAGAGGCACTTTTTAACACATTAGGAAGTGTTATTAGGAAGTGTGGAACAAGCTTCCCAGCCATGCTGGTAAAGTCAATGTCCTGGTGTCTTTCAAGAATCAACCGAATGGATTCCTCAGATCAATTACCATAGCTACCAGCAACCAAACAAGCTTGATGGGCTGTTTGGTTTCCTATGCCTGTAACTGTTCTACTGTTCTAACACCCATGCATATTGTAACTCATATTATTAACTTTAAACTTCTGAGTTTAAGCTTTAAATTAAATCACATTTCCTCTCCACTGCTGAGTGTGCCCCACAGCCCCAGCCATCATCTCTTGATTTCCAGAGGGCTGGTCCAACTGTCCCACAGACAGAGCTGATAAATACCCCACACCCCTCTCCCCTCGCCCACCCCCACCTCCACTCCCAGTGAGCTGCCAGGGCGCTCCCTCTAACAAGCTCCACATGTAAAAATGACTGGAATAACAAAGGATGAATTTTTATGAGGCTAATAAATCACTCTCTGTCTCTCTCTCTCCTTCTCTTTCTTCCAGTCTCATTCATTATAACATTTTGGACTTATCTGAGAAATAGTGTTAAAAGGCAAAAGAAAAGAGTTATGGTACAGCATTAAATACATATGTACATACATCACATACCCAGACATTTAAAGAGATACAAATATGTTTTAGATGAGCACACACATTTGACTGAAAGTTTTTTTCTTGGGTTGTAGATCTGCTCAAATGTGTGTTTTGCTGGGGGTTTTTGTACAAAAAATTCACCTGCTTTGTCACATACCCTAAGCAAATGACAATGGTGGTACTGTATTGTTGGATTTGTGGTTTTAAAACAAGCAGTAAACAAGAAATCTTCAAGGTGATTTGTTTAGAAGAACTGTAATTGCAAAAACCAAAACA